TTACGCGACATGATATAATGCACAATTATTGATATTTCTATTTTTTCCACAAAATAATGATATGTCGCATTTGAACGACGACTGACGCGCTGTTGACACTCATATGAACGTCTGTTCGTAAGCTAGGTAACGTGACCCCGCCCACTAACCAGTCTATTACTACTATTTATGTGGGCTGAGGTTTCGGCAATAGCTTCACACACTTAATATTTACATACATTGTTATAATAATTCAAGACTAGGGTGAGAGCTCGTTACAGCCGAACACGTCGTTCTTATGATCAGTTAAAAGCAACGCAATTAAAATAATAAACTATTTATAAATTATTCTATTAAATAGTATATTTTTTATCGAGGGACTAAGAGGGTTTATATCGGCTTTTAGTCTTAAGGTGAAAATTTTACTTTTCGCTTTAATTGCGAGAAAAAAATTCAATCATTTCCGGTCTGCAACAAAATTATGAAGTTTAGCGGTATTTTTTCCAACCAGACACAGACAAAAAAAGGCACTTACGCGGGAAAATAATATGGCACCACCGTCTATGCGGAAAAGGCATGGAACTAAAACCGAGCGTACTAATGGCCGTTTGAGTTTGTTCAATCGAAGTAAATTAAAAAATTGGGTACATTTACTCCCTAGCGATTACGGATGCACTTTACTCCCGCTAAGTAAGACTCTGTTGACATACTTTTAGAACATGAGAAGTAAAAACATATTTTATTCCTATTGTTTACATCAGATTCAAAATTTTAAATAAAAAATATTAAAAAAAACAACATTTAAAAAGCATCAATTACCTACCAATATTTTAAGATTGGGCCCTGACAAATTCGAACTTATGACGGGGTAAACTGTCAAAATATATGTCAAGATCTGCGCGACTACTCAGGCTATTGTAGTTGTAACACTAAGGGCCGGATGAGATGACAAGAATTAAGCGCAGGTTTTGCTAAAGCGCGTTACAACTACACAAATTTTATTGAAAATCAGCATCTCTAAAGAACGTGGAACACACAGAGAACAGGTGCGGGTCGGGCGCGAGTCGGGTCGGGTTTTGTGGAGAATAGTAACGCCTACGCTTTGATAGTACTAAATTTGACAATACTGGCATCCCCCAATCGGGGACTGCCTTAAGTGCCAAATTCAAACGATTAACCATGTACTTTCGACAAGACTGGATTTCTTCCCCTCTGACTCTTGCATTAGTCAAGTATCTGTCCAAAACTGCTGTCATCAGCATACCCAAAGGCACCTGGAATTAATATAATATGCACCAGAAATAGAGTTGCGGACAGTACGGAACCCTGAGGAACTGCCTGAGGAAAAGGCATCTATAGCACAATGTTCGGAAGAGTGGCTTTTTAAGACCACAGAGGATCGAACGTTCACTCAAGATCCGAAATCCAATTACAAAGGTCAGTGGGAAGCCCATCAGAGGGAAGCTTGCTTTCGTGCCAGACCTTGACAAAGGCTTTAAAACTATCTAAAGATACTGCAATGGCTTCGCCATGGCCTTCTATAGCCTCACTCCATAAGTGAGAAGCGTAGACAAGAAGAACCTCAGTAGATCACCCTCTTGCAAATCCGTACTGGCTCATGCGCTCGTCCCGCGCCCTCGCTCGGTGCGTTGACGTTCATATAAATACACGGAATTAGACCCGCCGCGATCCCGACCCGACACGCGCCCGACCCGCACCCGCACTCTGTGTGTTTCACGCTTAAGGAAATGCCGTACTCTGACCGAATGCAAGTGGTTACCGAGAGTAATTGCTATCTAACATTTCCAAATATACGTAACTTATATGGCACGAAACGGCGTCGTCGTGAATAGCAACCGTTCTTCCACAGTTTTTACAGTACATTTTGTCCAAATTGTCACAATACATGGAATCATAGGTTAATATCATCTAATCCATACTTCCAAGATTAGTTAATGAACACTTCCTTTTGTTGTGGCTACGAAATTGGAGACAAGCGTAGCGATGTAGCGATTTCTTCTTTCCTTGTGAAAGGGTTCGTCCAGAGAAGTACTGCCACCTTACCTTTACATTATTTCGTTCTGGTTTTGAAGGACAAGTGTGCTGGTGAAATTACAGGCACATGAGACTTGTCAACTTTAGTCTGAGGGTGGCAGGCGTGTCGCTTAACACCACGCGCACGCCGCCATCGCCGCTTCTTCAACCTGTTTCCCTGACCCCGGCAAACTGTGCCATAGTCTCTCCTATTTCAAAATTCAGAATAAAAAAAGACAATCTTAATTAGGTACTCAAGGTAATAATAATTAGTTATTATCTCAATGTATAGAAACAGATCTAACATTAAATAAATACCAATATTTTTTCAAAGTCAAAGTCAAAGATTATTTATTCCATAGGTAAAATAAATTTACACTTGAAATCGTCAAATTTAAGCTACTGCTCGTTCACTACGCTGACCTCCCTGAAAAGAACGAGCAAGAAACTTTTCAAATAAACTTAAATGCTATGGAATACACTTTGAATCAAATTTGTGTGGATTCTGGAGCCATGTCGTCTTTCCATACATCTTTATCTAACACGTAGTCTTCAATTTTGTAATATGATTTTTCGATCAAAATATTTTTAATGTAGTTTTTAAACTTAGGAAATGATAAACTTAATATATGCTCCGGAATCTTATTGTAAAAACGTATACAGTTCCCCATAAAAGAGTTGTTTACCTTGGTTAAACGAAATCGTGGTACCATGAGTTTGGACTTAGCTCTAAGGTTAATATTATGGATATCTTCTTTCTTATTGAAATTATGTATATTTTTACGAGCATATAAAATATTTCAGTAAATGTACTGTGATGCCACAGTCATGATACCAGTCTCCTTAAACTTTTCTCTGAGAGAAACCCGAGAGCCTAGACGGTACACAGAACGAATCGCTCGTTTTTGCAATACAAATATGGTTTGAATATCTTCCGCTTTACCCCACATGAGAATCCCGTAGGACATTATACTATGGAAGTAACTAAAGTAAACTAGTCTAGCAGTACTAACATCAGTATTTTAATGGAATCTAAGTTAGAGCCTGGAGTCTATAAAGCAACTAGACCTGTATTAGAGCTTACCGTTGTGGTTAACAACGGAACGTACACACGGTCTATAAATGAACCACTACCGCGCTTTACCTGGCCAATCTATTTCCTTCCCCTATACGTCACATTCCTTCATTGTCACAAAAAATACCTCACGTTTACCTTACGCCTCTCGTTAACATGTCATGGCAATCCCTTGACGTATTTCGTTTTGTTCACAACCATTACAAGGCGTTGTTTTGTCTTTTATTGCTGCGGAATAAAGCGTTTCCATGAACTCGTAAGGAAAATTTTGTATTGTCTTTAATTGAGACCGTCATGGGGATAAAAATGGCCGTCTGTGATGTGACGTCTGTGCTATATACATAAAATACAACAACAACGTAACAATTTGACGCACGGTGTTTTGTCATATAAATAATTTCGGAACAGAGTGCTAAAAAAACCGAACTCAAAAGTTCGTGGAAGTACATCCATTTGCCAAGAACCACGATCTTGCCCAATACGTCTTGGATACTTCTTCTTGAGTTGTGTTACAAAATTTGTTTAAAATTTCATTACGTATTGTGCAATGAAATCTAATAGGAAAAAATATTATTTTTGCAATCCATCTTTTAGATAATGTTAATGTGATGAATAACATGAAATTGTAACTAAAATTAAGTCTAACTTACATATTAATTTTTACAAGTTACTTTGTTTTTCTGCGTATTATTTTTTTCATTTCATTTACGTGTACAATATGTTGCGTACTGTAACTGATTTCGAGGGCATTTACAACAAACACTTGACCTGTATCGCATTAACAACTCTATCAAATAGTAAATACGATTTAGTCTTGTGTAACATTTTTTATGTACTATTATTTTGTAGGTTTTCCCAAAGTTATTATTCGTATTTTCCTTGGAATGTTTAAACTTGATTTTTTTTTTTTTTTGTTTCCTATGCGTCATAACTCTTAGAGCGTTTGTGAACTACGTCCAATTCGTATCAGGGGGTCTACTCTCGATGTCCGTCCGACATCCATCCGAAACAATTACTGTGAAATAAGTAATATTCGAGAAAATTAAAAGACAAGTATCAAGTATGAAGGTTCATTCTCATCACGCGTCTTTTCATTTGGTCAAGTATTGCTTATTTGGCAGTAATTGTTTCGGACGGAGATCGAGAATAGACCCCCAGTTCCGAACCCGAGAAATGACGGTCCGAAATATCACACGAAATATCATGTACAAGCGATATTCGTATTTTCTGGGATTGGAATCGGACTTAGTGCACAAGCGACATCCCAAGTGGGTCCGAGTTTTCTAGATTTGTTTTTGGATTTTCTCGCTCGATTAGAAATCGAATACGAAACTCACTTAACCAGGAGACGGAATTAGCAAAGTGTCTAAATGTCAAATAATACATGTAGAGTTGATAATTTTGTATGTTAGTTCTTAAGGTATATATCATATAGGTCATGTTGCGTGATTTAAATGAATAAATAAAAATAACTCCATGCGAATCAAAAAAAGGAAACAAAAGTTATAATTACACTTACGACTTTTCTTCTAAATACACTACCGTCGTAATAATTGCAAGTTACATAATAAGAAAGATATTCAGCAAAATACTATACAATTTTTAGAGGAGGATTCATTCCATACGTGTATTACCATGAAGTTTAGCCAAATAATATATAATCTGTCTAACATCACATTAGTATGGAATTAAGGAAAATTGCAAAGAGGGAAACACTTATTATAAGCAATATTTTATCGGAAAATCTTAAATTGTTTTATCAATAAAGTGACATTTGACCGGCTCATATAATGCCGCGAAACGTAATGGCCGCCAATTTTTGTAACGAAATTCATGTCGATTATATAACGTACAAACTAGATACGATACCGTTCTAATGAAAAAGAAATTAAATGTAACGTTTTTATTGCAGTCTGCTTCAAGATCTTCGACCTGGACCGCGACGGTGTGCTCAACAAGAAAGAACTCATCGACATGGTTGGCATTCTCTGCACAGTCGCCAACGAGTCACTCAAAAACGTAAGTGTCACAATTGTGAAAAATATAGAAAATTCAAGCATAAGAGCAGAAATATCATTTCATCGTCAACCCCGTTATAAGGAGAGGGTTTAGACCATGAGTCGCTGCGCTGGCCCAAGTGTGGATAAGGATTTCTTCACACGTTGTCTTCGAGTTATAATTATTTAGTACCAATAGAGATTCTTGTGAAAAAGTTCATTTAAAACTCTGATTGGCACAGCCATTGTTATAAAGAAAAATTATGTATCAGGCCATCATCAGTTGCCGCTTTAATGAAGTTGTAAAATGAAACTGACCAATCACATGACGGTAATATTTCGTGAAATAGGGTACGAAATTGACACTTTCCAATCACATTCCGTTTATATCACGTGATACGCAATAGGGAATTGTAACTGAATCAATCGCATCAATTTGGGAGTTATATAACAATTACATTGTAAGTGTTCTAAATTAACCATTTCTACATTTCCTGTCTCAGAGTTCCCGAGCGTCCACACCCTCTGATGGCAACGAATCCGAAGGCACTGAGAAAGGCTTCGACCCAGAAGTGATCCTGTTAAACCTTAGAGACAAGCTGATCACTGTACCTCGGAACGGGCGGAAGCCTGTCTTCCAACTAGGAGTTGCAGGCGAGGGAGAAGATATTGTGGTGGTGAAGGAGGTAATATTTGCTTCATATAGCTATAAAGATTGAAATAAAAAGTCAAAACAAACTGGAGTATTCGTATTCGGAGAAGATCTATCCTCTCTGTATACTCTAGTACAGAAGAAAAATAGACTTTAGCTATTAAATTGAAAGGAAAGAATGATAAATAGATTCCTGTAACTATTTTTTAATTTCCCATACATTCTAATGATTAAGTAAGGGAAATTTATGATTTGTGTTAATTTTAAGGAGTGTTTTCAACCTTATATCCCTCAAATACATCGGGTAATAGATATATATGTGTCATTGCGTAACCGTAACCGAATATTAACTTTATATTCTAGCGCTTAAGATACATTGTTAATTGAAGTAGCGGGCCATACAAAAGAGAAAATTACAATGTCATGCATTGACTTACAAATAAAATGTCATGCTATACATTAGAATGAAATAGATTAACTATGGAATCGTCAATTTCCGTTAACGCTCGAGTGACTCCGTCACGTGGTCTTTGGTGCTGAATAGAATCAAATAGATGAATGGGGACCATTTATGTAAAATTATCAATGTCACAGTATTTAAGTTTAAAATATAATCAGGGGATAATTCCGCACCCTCATGTACAAAGTGGCTTAATTCCAAAAGTAACATTCTTGGGAACTTGACTTAATAAATTAAAAAAAAACGTAGTATATATATATTCATATCAAATAGAATTTTGTGATTTTTAACAATAAACAAATGGCATACATAACTGTGCCATACAGCATATCTTGGATCCATGTTACTACTAGTTGGTTGTTACTAAGGGTCAATTTACATTGCCGCGGAACGGAGTGGAACGGACGCGTCAATTTCGCCTCCCGCCCGAACACTGGAATGCTCGAGCATTCGCGACCTCTTTCGCAACTGCGCCTTGAGGATGTAGTATTTCGTCATCCTTTGAAGTCACACTGCGCCTGCCTTTGCGCCAGAATTCGTCGGGTGTCGCCGAACGGCGGCTATGGAAATACCCGCGAATTCGCGAGCATGTGCGAGAGTACGCCGGAGGATGCGCGACTTGTTTTTTTGGCTCGTGTATAGTTTGTGCGTTAGACAATTGACATAATCGTCATTTTGCTATGTACAATTTCGTTACAAAAATTCGCTTCCATTCGGTTCCGCCGCAATGTAAATTGAGCCTAAGACTATGGATTCAAGATTTCCAAATTTAATGGTTATTATTATTATTTTGGGTTGGTATTTAGTTTAAACTATCGTTCACATGCCTAAAATCACCGACAATGACACTGGTAACCGGGGTCAGAGACTTAGGTTCAAGAACCGGTGAACGCATCGAACTGCACCGTTTTCAACATTTGCGCTGGTTGATTTTCGGCGGTTGGATTTATGTCGTGTGTTACATAAATCCAACCGCCAAAAACTGCGTTACCGAAATAAAATATAATATTACAGTGTATTTATTTTAGATAATCTTTTCCTTAGGACATAAACCATGAGAGCGAAGGTCTAATAGCGAACGATCTTGCTCTGACCCTGGAAGACTTCTTAATATGGAGCGTGGAGACAGCTGAAAACCTCGTTTCACCATTCTTGGAGTTGGTCTTCGAGGTTTGCCACATCGTGTTGGGGTTAAGACCGCACTGCAAGCATCAGGAGAGAGATATTGGTGAGTTGACATCTCCTTCTTTATTAACAGCCCTAATCTTTTAAAATTGTTTTTCAAAATTGTATAACGGTCACGGAGGACGAGTAATCATCAATAGTTCTATAATAAACTACAGTGTCTTTTTTGAAGACTTTAAGTAGTCATGTAGTTGTTGTTGACAGTTTTATCGTTGGATTTTGAAAGAAGGTAAAATTTTGTCAAAAATTTCTGTATTGTGAATCTTCTTCTTCTTCGTTTTGCTTAATGGCGGTTCCTTCTTTTTAAGATTTCGCCAGTGTCGAGTTTTCCGCTTAGCAGAATGTAGATTATGTTTCTGTAAATATGGCCGCCACAAAGAGGATAGGCAAATTGAGGCGGCGTGCTTGGATTGAGTCGGGATTCCTTAAAACGGGCCGATACGGGTATTTTAGTTCGAGATTCGTATAATTTCACGTTTTAATCTTCGATTAAGTCACAATAACACTATCCTATTCCACTTTAAACTAGATTTCACAAAATAATTGAAAGTCAAAATAAAAACGACACTTTTCCCTCCAAAAGGTCCAGAGCGAATCCTGTATTGTGAATGTTACCACGTTCTAATGATTACTAATTTTATTGCCTTCTTTGTTCCGATTTTGACAGTTGGCTTACTAATGGCTTACTAATCGAAATCAACTTTCACACACACTTTAATAAGGACCCGGCGAATTTGATCTATAATGAGTCAGAATGAAAAAATATAAAATATGACTCCTCGTTGTATTTTAATAAACGTAGTTCTAAATGTAAAGTCCGTCTTTTGAAAATGGCGTACGGTTTACAACCACATATTTTATTATTTTAGTTCTGCTTACTGTGCACCCTATTTTACGCTGTCGTTTGTCTACCTGTGCGCATACGTAGGCAATTAAATTAATGTCTAACGAACATTCAGCCAATGTAAGAGATACACAGCCTCATCGAGATTGTATTTTTACCAATAAACCTATTACAACTTATCAGTTTAATTAGGCATCAATACTACGGTGTAGTATTGGCCCCTACAAATGGAGTAAAATTAGAGTTAATTGTGTAAAAGTGTTGCCCGCTCGCAAGCTGGCAGTGATTTCAGTCGCTAAATATTATATGGACTAACGACTGAATGTTGCTATTTATGAAATAAATAGCCGGTCTTGTTTTATTGTAATTTATTATTAATCCAATTGCTGGGCACATGTTCGTTTGTGTTGTTAATTTTTGAAAATTACTATACAGACTAAATGTAGAAGTATGTCTTTTAAAAATACGAATAGGAGACGTATTTTAAAATTTTTCATATTAATTTGTTATCGGTTTGTCGTCATTAAAATGTATGTATAATTAAAAATTGGTTTCGATTTGAATAGACCAACTGTCCACTGACCAAATTAAAGAGTACACAGTAATACGACAATATAGAACTCACTACTAAATATTGTATTTGACCGGTTAATCAAGTAACAGCTAAACCTTTATACTATGAATTCTCACTAATAATCGTCACTTAGAAACTAAAGTCATAGGCACATGACGCCACAGAGATTCGAACTGTCGACCTCTCAATTGATAAGCAGCCGTTCTACTAGGCTACTACCGCTTAGTAATCGTTCTCTCACAAAATACACTTAATTTTTTTGTTTTAAATAAAATATATTTGCGCATTTGACCTCCATCTCACCTGATGGAAAGTGACGACGATGGAACATGCACACCTAAATAATGCCTATGCACTCTCGCCTTGAAAAGTCTCAAGTTATAACGTTCAAGGAACAAGTCTGCAGGCAGGGAATTCCACTCCATAGCCGTTCGCCATATAAATGTGGAAGCGTAACGCTTCGTGCGTATCTTTGAATTATTGATGTACTACATTGAATGGGCATTTATTTGGCAAGCATGAACATATCGTGTCATCAGGCGAATGTATTTTCCTTTCAAATAATCCTTCTAGAAATTCTGTACACGTAAATCCGTAAATAAAATCAAGCTCGTAACTATAAAAAAACAATGAAAGACGTAAACAGCAATATCGCAATATCTGTTATCTAAACGAAGCAATGGCGCGCACTTGACACACATGCTAATTTCGCACACAATTATCTACCACTTGTTATTAACTGTCACTATTGCTTTCATAATACACACACTTGCATATTTAGCAGTACACTATTACTGCTAAATATAATATCACTAAAATAGTGTTAAATTTGATCCGAAACAAAGAAATTTTTTCATTTCTTATCCCTAATGTTTTCTAAAGACTGTCCTGTTATTTT